TATCCAAAACCAAAGTACAATGTATTTTAAATTTTAGGAGGTAAAGCTTCTAAAATTAAAGTTTAAAAATTGAGTGAAATGTATCTACCGTTTAAGCGTTCAAAGTAAAATTTACTTTAAGCATCTTGTAGTCATGTAGTAATTTCGATTAGAGGTGGCAAATCAACCCACTTAACTAAATTTACCCATACCCGCCCATGAATAGATGGGTATGGGTATGTTAAATTTTTGTATATGGGTATAAATGGGTTACCCAATAATACCCATTTATTAAATGGGTATTATTGGGTAACCCATCAAACTTAATTAACCCATTTAGAATTCTCTTCCCCCCAAGTCTCTTCTTTTCCCCCACCTTTTTTTTTTTTCAAATTTTTCATTTTGTCATGATGTTAACTATTTTTGTTTCATTATTATTATTATTTGTTGGTTTTATCTTATTATTTTATTTTCTCTTAGTTTGTTAACTTGCTCATTTTTTAGCATTACCAATTTATGACAAATTTTAGCCTATTTTCTTATCTTTATAAAATGAAATTTTAAATTTATATATGAAAAAATGTTAGGGGTTCAAAATTTTTGGATTAAGTTTTTATACTAATTTTTATAGTACTTAGTTCAAATTTTTATATTATTATTATTCAATTATTAAATAATAGGTAATTTTGTGACATAGAGTATAAATGAAAAAAAATTGGTAATTAAGTTGATTGAACATTATAAGTAAATATTTAAAACTAATGATGGGTACAAAGAGTAGGTATAAATTGATAACTTAGTTTGCAAAAATGAATTTAAATAAGTTTACAAAAAGTTAAAATAAATGGGTTATAAATGAGTAATTGGGTTGCCCAATTCATTTTTTGACTTACCCATTTATACCCATCTAATTAAATGGGTATAAATGAGTTGACTCACTTATATCTATTACCCATTTTACCCAACTCAAACCCGTCCAAGTCACCCATTTTGACACTTCTCATTTCGATCTACTTTCTTTACGTCAACAAGTTCAATTATTGTACTACAATACGGCCAGGAAACTTAGCAATTTCACTCTACTTTTCTTTCTTCAATAACAAATAGTGACCCCTTACCTACCTTGTCCGTTATAAACTTAAAATGGGCCGTCTCCACTGCAAAAAGTGCTTTGTACATTACGCGTGTTTCTTTGTACATAATTATTTTGAATGCTATATTTCATGAAAGAAATGAGAAGGGTAAAATATTTAATTATTTAAACTTGATAAAGGTAATGTTATTTGGTTATCTTTTCTGCAGATTTTAAGAGTCCTTTTGGTCATATTCTCAAATTAAATTCACCATTGGATGGTGAAACAGTAATTGTTTTAGACTCTTAGATTGTAATATTTTCAATCATTTTAAAATTTGAACCACTGTCATTTCTTAACAACTAAAATTGTAGGAATAATTGTCTGAAGGGACCATACATAGAATTTTCCTATCTCTTCAGATTTTGATTAATTTTAGTCTATCTTTTACCAGATTTTTTCTGGGTTTTGCAACCATTTGTTTTTTTTTTTTGGGATTAATATGCCAGGTAACCGATGGCTGTCTAATATGAGAACCTTTTTTATTTATTTTTTTATCATAAGGTTTTAAACATTTCATTTCTGTATTTGATGATATCGAGCTTTTTCTACGTTTACTTTGTAGAAATTCTGTACCCCTAAAGCTTGTTAGCCATAAGACATGTATTTCGAGTGACCCATCCATTAACAAATTTTTTTTTTTTTAAATGATGGATCCAACGGTTACTTTGTAATTTGAGTTAACCATTTTGTGACATTAGCGGCATAGTTTCCTTAAACAAAGACTGAAGATTGAGAAATTTATAAATAGAGGTGACAATTTGTCCTAAACCCCAATGGATTACCCATGCCCATGGAGACTTTGGGCGGGATGAGTACTAGAATTTGATATTGGGTTTAAAATGGGACAAATCCCAATTGTACCCATTAATTGATGGGAAATTTTGGAAAATACTTGGGTACCCATTGGGCTCAAATAGTAAGGGTTCCGTTTGGATTAGCTGTTTTTGGAGGGCGTTTTTGAAATATTTTATTGTAGCAGTGTATATGAAAAATTTTTACTATAAAATTTTTTTGAAATATTTGATATACTAATATGGATGGGATGTTTTTTGAGTTATTGTATATTACTGTAACATTGTATTTGAAAAACTTATTTTTTGAAAAAATAGCTAATCCAAACGGAGTCTTTGATTCAAAAATATCTTTAATAATTTTTATAGTCATACCAGCGAATATAATCTAGTAGTCTTTCTAGTCATTATCCACAAGAATTTCAAGCATTTCAATTAGTTTAGACCTGTCATCCTTGGACAATGATGAGAATAAATATTCAACACCCTAAGTACCTTGGCCATCTTGATATATGTTGGAATATGGCTGTATATCTATCTTTTCCTTTATTTGTTAATCCAATTTTTGGTGCGAATCCTGAGTATAAAGCACTTGCATGTTTATTTAATAAAACTAAAAGAAATTTAGTAAATCAAAAATATTAAAATTATATAAAAATAAAAAATGAATTAAAGGGAAAAAAAGTAAAAAATAGATTTGGGTATTGGGCGGGATCAATCTAAACTTATCCCAAAGTGATTCCACTCAAATTAGTCTCAAAACACATATGGGTAAGGTTGGGCCCAAACCCATATGACTCGGTTCCATCTCAAACCCAAACAAATCTCACACCATCCCGCTCATTTTACCTCCTCTATTTATAAACTAAATATAAGGGCTAATAGATTTATTCAATGAATAGAGGAAAGCAAAATAATGAAAGAATAATGATGAGCTAGTGTCGCAGAATTAATTACTTTTTCTAAATCTAAATCCACTTCGCCAAAAAAAATTTTGCTGCAGCAACTGGATGAAGATATACAAAGACCAATATTAATCCTACACCTTGAAACCTCAACTCGCAATTCTAATGCATATGTGTCAGTTGTGCATGAGCATCATTAGCCGGCTAAAGGCTTTGTGGGTGATTGCTTGTGGTGAGGGATTTTTCATTTCTTTTATAAATATTTATGAATGTACACATTTATTATATCCTTTTATTTCCATAAAGGACCTAACCGCCAAATATGACCGAAGGACTAGAAACATGAAATCAAGGCATGATGATTAAATAAATTTAGGAGGACAAAATCCAACTAATTAATGTCTTAGAACTCCCTCGTGAATCCAACTTCTCTGGAAAGGGAAAAAAATTCTCTGAAGAAGAATTTATTTTGTTTTGTAGGAAAGAATAGGAGAATCTCTTAAGCAAAACATATTTCCTATAATGATCGAAAGCTATGGAGAAGGAGAAGTTATATCGTTTTGAAACTAAGATGGTTAGATATTTCATGAGATTGAAAAAAATTACCTACCATGGAATAATTGTTAGAGGGGGTTTTGAATTTTTTTTTATACGAAACGTCTTAACGTTATCAACTGAATCAATTTTTACTCACACTTAGGCTGAAAAAGAAAGAAAAGAATCCAGGGTTGTGTGGGCCAAAATTTGGACCTAATGATTCCAAGTTAAGATTGTAAGAGAATGTCACAAATCCTTTGCTTGTAACTTTTGAGATTTCTTCCTTCAAAAAAAAAAAAAAAAAAACTTGTGAGACTTAATTGCAAAAGGTTTCGCCAATATAAATTAGCTTCTTTCTTTGGTTCAATTCATCTAAATATTTTCTTCTGCTTAAATTCAAAGTTTTCAGAACGTAGCTTTACAATATACAAGGAATTTCTACATATTTGTCGCATCTGTTGTCGCCTCGCAGGAGTATTCATTCCCTCTCAAGTAAGTGCTCAAGTGCTTTTAACTAGTTGATCAAATAATTGTTTGGTTGCAGTATAGCTTCTACTGTTTTTTTTTTTTTGGAACATTTCTTCAGCTAATTCCAGCTTTTCTTGTTTTATTATGCATATATTTTGCACTTTGCGCTTTGATCTTGACGGGTGTCAAATTCATCTCTGGCTTTGTCTGATGGTTCAGTAGCCTGCAGTTAGGCATAAGACGTACTTCGAGTAACACTTCCATTAACAATTTTTTTTTTAAAAAAAAAGTTGTTGAGTGCAAAAAGAAAGTTCCATATTCTTAATTTAGGTCTGCACTGATTTTGAAATTTCCGAGAAGAGAAAATCCATTTAAGTTGTTTGCTACATGATGTCGCCTTTGTCACCAAAAAGATGGTTTGTACACTAATTTTTGGAGATGTCTCTTAAAAACTAGGGAATGGCTTCAATTTGTTCCTCAACTTTTACCAGTGATTTTTCTATTTGATCTCTTAGCTTTTAAAATTGTCTATCAGGTCCCCTAACTTATAAATTTGTTTCCAAATTGTTCATATGATTCCCTCCAAGCCAAATCGAAGCGTGGTAACGTTCATTTGATTTCAGGTATATTTTCCTTCTCAAAGCTTGAAAATAAAGTATAACCATATTGAATAGTTTTTTGGTTAAGTATTTTATGGTTGACCAGGTTGAGTAACAAAAAAATAACACTATTCTTGTAAAAATTTACATAAGGTAAAAAAATTACTCTCTAGTACATCACAAGCTTAGCATTACCTTATGCTTATAAATTTTGCTACCTTTGTTTTTTGTTATTAGTATGCCATCATCATTATTATTCTATTAAAGCCTGATAAACCTAAACTAGTAAATCTAAAAGTAACATTAATCTAACAAGAATAATGAAAATTAGTACATAAATAAACTAAAAGAATTTTCTTTTAGCAATTTAACATTTTTTTAAGTCAATACTATAGAAAAGATGATAAAATGTGAAAACAAAATATTGTAAAAAGATTAAAGTAAACAAAAATTCCTATATCTTTCTTCATCTTCTTCTTAATTTGTTTGCTTCTTTTTAAGGTACCTTTTTTTGCTACACCTGTCATTTGAATCCAAATAAATCGATTAGCCCCACAATAGAATAATAATATTTATAACAATATACTACACAAATCAATAAAGGTAGTGAATAAAAATCAATAAAATTAGTGATTCCTTACCTACTACTGTTACTTTCTCCTGTATATTCCACCATAACTGCAAAAGTTTTTGCTATTATTAATTTGCTTCTTTCTTTGGTTGAAATTATTATCTTTGTCGAAATCTTCATCTCTTCTACTTGTTAATTTGCTTCTTTCTTTTGCGGAAATTATCATCTTCGTCCTAATATTCTCTTTTGCTTAAATTCAAAATTTTGAGTACATAGCTTTCCAACATACGGGGAGTTTCAACACATTTATCAGAACTGTTGCCAGAGTATTTAAACTTTCTGGAGTAAGTTCTCATGCTCTTTTAACTTTTATATCAAATAAAATTTTGGTTGAAATATAGCTTCCACTATTTTGTTCTCCAAATATCTTCTGCTAATAATTCCTTTGTCGTCAAATAAATTTTTGGGCTGGAATTTTGCTTCCACTTTTTCTTGTATAGTTATGCATATAGTTTCCGCTTTGCTCTTTGATCTTGACAGATATTGAATTCGTCTCTGGCTCAGTTCTATGAGTTTATAGCTTCTAGTTACGCATAAAGTAATATTTTGGGTGGCATGTCCAATGAAAATATTTTTTAAGTTATTAAGTGTAAAAAGAAAGTTCTATATCCCTAATTTAGGTGTGTATTGATTTTTAAATTTCTCAAAAAAAAAACATTTAATTTGTTTGCTGCATGATGTTCCCTTTGTTGCCAAAAAATTACAACTTCTCTAAAAAACTAGGTATCAGGCTTCAATAATCTCTCAACTTTCAGCCATAATTTTGTTGCATCTATCAAGTCCTTCAACTTATAAATTTGGTTTTAATTGGTCACTCCAAATCAAATCCAATTTTGGTAATATTCATTTTACTTTTAAGGTTTGATTTTTATTTTGCTTATCATTGTCTAAAATCAACTATTTCAGTGTTGGATAAATAACAACTATGCAAAATTTAAATTTAAAATCCAACTTTTGCATATGTGTCATTAATCTAACAATGATAGTTCATGCATTGTCAGTGTATATAAAATTAATCCTTTACTTTATTGTATGATACTTAATAGTTTAAGTATTTAATAACCAAATAATTTGACCAACAAAAAAATAATTTGAGTGTGTTTAAATACGAGATTATTTGAAATAATATATGGAAAAAAATTGCTATAGCACTTTTTGAGAAGTGATGCATGTGAAATATAAAAGTAGTTTAAAAAGTAAAAAATTAATTGAAAATTGTGTTTGTGATACAAGCAAAATATTATTTGAATTAATTTTGTTTTCCAAACACACTCACAATATTTCTAACGATTTACATATACTAAAAAAATTGAAAAATTACTCTTCAACACATGAGAAGTTAGCATCGCCTTATGTTACAAATTTTGCTAACTTATTTAGTCCTGTTACAATGTCATCATCATTATTTTTCTGCTTAAATTCTAATAAACCTAAAATAATCTAAAAAGAAACATTAATCCAACAAGAATAAGAAAAGATTATATGCAAAATAAATAATAGAGATTTATTTAACTATTTAATGTTTTTGTATAGTTGTTATTGTAGAAAAGAACATAACGTTTAACAATGAAAAGATTACAAAAAAGATACACATAAATAAAAATCCCAATATCTTGTTTTGATTTTTTTTTCTTCTTCTTTGTGTGCTTCTTTTTTAAGTACCCTATCTTGGCTAATCATGTCATTAGAATCTAAATATATCATTTAGTCCCAAATTAGAATGATAATGTGCATAACAGTAGATTGGAATTAATATGCTCAGACAAAATTTGTTAAAGGAGATTGTTATCAGTTTTTTTAGTTAAACTAGTTTTTCTTTTCTTTTGGTTAACTCTTCCATCCCTCTCCACACCCTTTCCACCCCCAGCTGCTAGGTACAAAATTTGAATTCTAAATCTGGTAGTGGTTAAGATTCTAAGAACCCTCCCCTCGCCGCTAGTAACCAAACTAGTCAACAACTCAATATTTATGGAAACCATTAAAATGGCAAATTTGACTACTTTATAAGTTAACTTGGGAGGAGCCAAACTTACAATAAAATGAATCTTAGTCTAATAGAATGAAAATTTTCTTGATTAGATTCAGTTTTTGGGACGAATTAAAACCAAATTCAGAATTTTCAACACATATTAAATTATTCAAATAAGTCAACTATTAGATACTTAACTGAAACTATTAAAAAGGACAGATATGTTTTATATTTAAAATTAGAGTAGGAAAATAGACATTAAATTGAACCTCAGTGGGAAAGTAAATATTACCATAATGAGATTTAGCTTGGATGGACTATTCATAACTTAATTTATAAGTTGAGGAACTCAATAAACACTTATACAAGTTGAAAGACTAGATAAAATCATTGGTAAAAGTTGAGGGACAATTGGAAGTCATTTACCCAAAAAATTTTACTCGAGATAAAAATGGTGTTTGAAAGCATTTCCTACAAATAGTAATGTCCATTTTTCCTTGTGAAAACCTCGGGCTTATAAAACCCTGCAAATGAATAAAGGTCATCGCCTTTGTGTGTGCTCCTATCTCACTTTAGGCTTTAGGGTTGAAACATCCAAAGATTCCATTTTCCTGGGACTCTATATCGTATGCTTTGAACTCTTCCTAAAATTCATTCACCAGGATTGTCCCAATTTTTTTTCATAACATTCTTGATAATTTGGTTTTGGAATAGGGACAATACTTCGGGTCCGTTTGGTTGGACAGAAAATATTTTCCTCAGGAAAATATTTTTCATCGAAGTCATTTTCCTGGAAAATCACTTCCTTCTCCATAATTTTCTAGTGTTTGGTTATTTAGTGAAAATATTTTCCAAATTCCTTTTTTCATAATTTTTCAGTGTTTGGTTTGTCAGTGAAAATATTTTTTGACTTCCTTTTTTAATGTTTGTTGATATGTTGCAAATGTTTTTCTATTCTCAAAACATTCATCTCATTATAAGTGTTTTTTAGCTTCTATCCATTATAATCATATTATCATTTTTATAAAATATTTATTCAAATTACACCATGAATTCTTAAATAGAATTATTAATGACACTAATGAATTGGTTTTTGATCTTCCTTTAAAAAAAATCATTAAGGGGGTGAGGTGGATTCAATACAAATCATTGCGTAAGAAAATGGATGATTTTGATTGGACATGGGAAAAGGATGCTTGCTTGTCCTATTCATACCACTAGAAAGTAACAATCGAGACCCTGATTGTAGCAGTCTAGGATCAATTAACATGCCCCTACCATTTGGCTCAACATTAAAACCTGCGACATGGACACCGAGATTTTAAATAGACAGATGAATGGTGCATTGATGCACTTATGATTTTCTTCAGCACTGGTTCCTTCCATAGCAAATTCTTCATTCAAATCATCCTTTTCGTTGCTCAAATCCGTTTCTCTATTTGTGCTGTGCATTTCGCCATGCACAGGAATACAAATTCTTTCAACTTGAGCCAGAGCAAGCATTGATGATCCAACCATTTCAAAGTCACGAAAAGGATCTCTGAGCTACAACCTAAGAGCTAATGTGAAGTTGTTACCGAACAAATGACTGTTACTACCTGATAATTTAACACGTAGACCATTTCTAGTCATCTGTAAATCACCTAAATTGAAAAGATCAGCATGATAAGCTGCTAAGATTTTCAACATCTCTCCATCAACTTCATTCTCATAATCAATATCTACTGCATCTAACCTGATCCATTCATCCAAGGAGATAGAGAGTTTGATTAACTCAGCAACACCATCATCCCCTTTGACATCCAAAGTTGCAATGGAGCGGATCCCAAAGATCCCATAACCCCACCTAGTTTAACATTCTGGCTTACGGAGGTCCAGTTCTTAGTAAACTGGGGCCTAATGCTTGAAGATGCTTCTGCATCTGACTAGCCACGTTGAATCCTCAACCCTTCAATGGAGAGAGCTTCAAAATTAGCCATTGCTAATGGAACAAGATCTTCAAAAGACACATAATCTGAATGTACGTTATCTGTTATTGAGCCTAAGTTTGGAGCATTCTGACTGTGATCTATTACTTTTTGTGAATCTTTAAAGGGAGCTTACTATTATGTCAGAAGAAATTAACGATGCAAGAAAATCCCTATCGCTTGCAGTAAGGTTCCAAAATAATTGAACAGGCAATTGTAACATCAGAGCTTCATTATCTTTTCCATAGCTACCAACATTTTCAGTCTTTCTAACAAACCAGAAGTCTCTTCTTTTTCCCTTCTTTTTTTTTTTCTGTTTTCCATCTTTCTTAGTGTTGTATGCTTGATACAGGGTTCCAGAAAATCCCAGCAAAACTAATGCAACAATAAATGCCATAAACAAATAGAAATCTGTAATAACAATCCTGCTCAATTATTCACTATCCTTTCCTTTTTTGAGTTTTCTTGGTCCAAAATTACCAGTAATAACTTGTACAGTACTATCAGAGCTTCATCAAGCTCTGTACAATCTCCAAGAAACAAACACAAGCAAACGCAATATGTGATTGTGTGTGTGTAGCAAAAATTATCTTAATGGGATACAAAAGTCATCAAAGCAAGAAACTTTTTCTGCAATTCCTTAAGGGAACAAAGCAGGTTCTCAAAAAAAATCAACAATAAAACCTACTATGCATAAATTAAGAAAACTGCCCCACTCAAAACTAGAAATTCCAGTAAAAATACTACTAACGATCAATAAGCAAGCAATAAGTTTGACTCACCAGGACAATGAATTGCTATATGATCCAACCTTTCAAAAAAGTAGGAAAAGAAATAATAGAAAATGATGAAGAGCGTCAGCCCAAGACCGGTAAGAAGAAGGATTAAGAGAATAACCCAATTGAAAGAGTAGCCTACCTCTGGGAGTGGGTCTTCACCAGCAGAGCTGGAGGCGCTGCCGGCGAAGAAGGATTGGCTTGCCGATGAGTCTTCAATCGATGGTCTTCAATCGTTGAGAATGGGCATCTACCGAAGTACAAGAATGCCTTTAGGCCGTGATTTTAAGAAGAGGCCGTGCTTTTAAGAAAGGAAAATAACTTCAGAATAACAGGTAAGGAAGTTATTTTCCTTCCCTCGGTGGAAGTTATTTTCCATCAGAAATCATTTTCCCAAATTAGATTGTGTCCAAACACTGGAAAATTAAGAAAACATTTTCCATCCAACCAAACAGACCCTTCATTTAAATCGGTTTTTTTAAATTATCTTCCATGGCTCATGATTCAATGACTAAGCTCCATGCATGATCTTCCACCTTAAGTATGTATTTTGTTAACATGTTCCTCGAGTTTGTAACCATGCATGTCCACCAATTATTCTGAAAATATTTCTTTGATTAATCGATAAGTATTCTTGGTAGTCATTGACTGGCTGCCTAAAATGAATCCGAACAATGTTTTCATGTTAATGTAGAAGATATGTTTTCTTCGTTTCCTAGTAACAGAAACTTTTGCTTATAATTATGTTCCAATTTTTCATTTCCTATTGGGTCTATCAAGTTATAAATCTCTAACAACTTTATTAACATTGATTTAACTTTCTTGAACTGTGAGTTTCAGGTCACACGTGATGGAAGCATTTGTGGGAATTCTCGTCGATACTTTGAATTCCATGATCCAGAAGGAGAGTGGATTGCTTTGTGGTGTTGCAACTGACATGGAAAATCTTGCACGCTTGCTCTCCACCATCAAGGCAGTCCTTGAAGATGCTGAGCAGAAGCAATTCACAGACAAGGCAATACAACTCTGGTTTCAGAAGCTCAATGGTGTTGCCTATGAAATCGATGATGTATTGGATGATTACGCAGCTGAAGCCTCAAGAGTCAAGTACAAAAATTCTGGTTGTTTTAGTTTGATGTGTTACCCTATAGCAGGAAACTTAGTGTTTCGTCACAGGATTGGGACAAGGATGAAGGAGATCCTTGAAAAATTTAATGCAATAGCTGATGAGCGGATAAAGCTTGGTTTGATTGATCAGAACCGTGGGAGCAACCACTTTCAGGTTGATTCTACTGGAACACGTGAGACTGGTTCCTTGCTAAAGGAACCTGATCTAGTCCTTGGAAGGGACGAGGCGAAAGACGAGATTGTGAAAATATTGGTGAATCAAGTCAGAGATAATCAAAATGTATCAGTACTCCCTATAGTGGGTGTTGGAGGCCTTGGAAAGACAACACTTGCCCAATTGGTGTTTAATGATGAGCGCATAGCCAAGCATTTTGACCCAAAACTCTGGGTTTGGATCTCAGAGGATTTCAATGTGAAGAGGATTATAAAAGCCTTAATTAATTCAATACGAGGGACTCCTGTTGAAGAATTAGAATTGGATCCTCTGCAAAGAAAACTTCAAGAGTTGTTGAGAGGGAAAAGATACTTGGTTGTACTGGATGATGTCTGGAATGAGAATCTAGAGGAATGGGAGAAACTGAAATCTGTTCTGGAATGCGGATCAAGAGGTAGTTCAATCATCATGACAACTCGCATGGAGAAGGTTGCCACAATAATGGGCACATTACAAACATATTATCTGTCGAGTTTGTCAGAGAATCAGTGTTGGTCACTGTTTAGGCAACGGGCATTTGGCCGTCAAGAGGCTGAAGAATATCCTAACCTTGTAGTTATCGGAAAAGAGATTGTGAAAAAATGTGGTGGTGTTCCTCTGGCTGCAAAGGCTCTTGGAGGCTTTCTACGATTTAAAAGGCAAGAAAATGAATGGAACTCCGTGAAATGCAGTGAAATTTGGAACTTACCTCAAGATACAACACATATCTTGCCCGCGTTGAGATTGAGCTACCTTAATCTTCCGGTAGAGTTGAGAGGTTGCTTTGCATATTGTGCAGCATTTCCCAAGGGCTATGAATTTGAAATAGAAGAGGTAATACATTTGTGGATGGCAAATGGATTGCTTTCATCTAATGAAACAATGGAAGTGGAAGATGTTGGTGTTGCCGTGCTGACTGAACTATATTATAGATCACTATTCCAAGCAGTAAAGGAAGATGAATTTGGCAATGCCCTCACTTTTAAGATGCATGACCTTGTCCATGATTTGGCTCGATCAGTAATGAAGGCTAAACACGGTGGAACAGAGTCAAATAGAACGATGATATTAGGTATGCCAGATGATCAGCTAACAGTGGCTTTTCCTATTACAATCACAGGCATTGACCAGTGCTTTTCTTTCTTGTCAAAATGTGGCTCCCTGAGGGCTCTCATGGTAAAGTCAATGGAGTCTACCCAAGAAGAGTTTACGAAGTTGTCACATGCAATAAGCAAACTGAAACATTTAAGGCATCTAGATCTTTCAAGATCTTTAATTATTGAACTACCCAATTCAATTTGTGACTTGTGGAATTTGCAAATTTTAAACCTAAATGATTCTCTCATTCTTCTGAGTCTACCCAAGGGCATGAGATTCCTCAGAAATCTTCGACATCTTTGTCTACATGGATGTTGGAGTTTGACTCACATGCCAAGTGGAATTGGGAAGTTGACTTGCTTGCGGACGTTGGGTATGGTCGTCTTGAGTGGCAAGAAAGGCTTCCGACTAAGTGAGTTGCGAGACTTAAATATGCTTAGAGGAGGGCTAACAATTATGCACCTTGAGAGGATTGAAGACAAAAAGGATTCAGAAGAAGCTTGCTTAATTAAGAAACAGAGTCTCCACGGGTTGAATTTGTATTGGGATTCCGAAAGAACGATTCAACGGTACAATGATAAGGAAGTGCTCGAAGCCCTCAAACCCCGGCCCAACCTTCAACTGCTACGTGTCCTAGGCTTCAACGGTTCATCATTTCCATCTTGGATTTCAACTGTAACAGAAGTTGTTGTGCACGAGAGTGCAGCGGAGTACATAGTTGGGGTCTAAGAGAGTACTGCCGCCGCTGCTGCAATGTCCCCATCGTTGAAACAGCTGGAGTTAGAGAACATGCCCAACCTAAAAGGAATGTTAGGAAGAGAAGTCCAAGGTACTCCAGGGGTATTCTCACAACTTCAATCCTTGTCCTTTAGGGATTGCCCAATGTTGACATTGCCATTGCCACGTATGCTGTCCCTAAAGGAGCTATGCGTCGACAGCTGCCCAAACATGGCATGGGCTTCAATCTCCAATCTCACGGCTTTGAAGGAATTGACCATCAAGCACTCTCCCGAGCTGGACTCTCTGCCAGAAGAAGGATTGCAAGGCCTTGCTTCTTTGCAGGAACTCCATTTGGTTCGATGCTATAATTTGGTGAGTCTCTCAATGGGGACTAAAGCCCTCATATCCCTGACTCGTCTATGTATCAATGGGTCACACGCGACAGCTCTGCCAGAGAAAGTCAAACATTTCCCTGCACTACAAAAACTGGAACTGGAGAATTTTCGCAATTTAACTTCATTGCCAGACTGGTTTGGAGACCACCTCACTTCTCTTCAAGACCTGACACTAAAATATTGTCCGCTTGAAACACTTCCATCCAGCATTCAAAAGATGATGACACTCCAACATTTGACTATATTTCGCTGCTACCGACTGGGACGACAGTGTAAAAGGGGAGGAGAGGAATGGCACAAAATTAAGCACATCCCGGACCTGAAAATTGAAAATTGAGTAATACAATTATATATGAGTGGGTCTGCATGTTCTTGTATTACGACAAAATCAGTCAAGGCTTTTGGGGCACTTCATGTTTATATGAGTTCGGTAGAGAGACGTCATACAAATAAGGAAAGTTAGGGTTGGAGGCAGATCTGCCATGGCGGCTTTTCCGCCGCCGGCAGGACTTATGGAGGGTGCGCAGCCTCTGAGGAGTTTTGCGGCTGTGGTAGCAGATGCAGGGAGCGAGGAGGGATTTAATCCTGGGTCAATATCGACGTATAGAGGGGAACCTGCCCTCAGAATAGCGAAAAAAGATATCATGCAATTGGCTTTGCCGTTTCAGCATGCACTTGTGGGCAGATTCTCGTACAGCAGGCCTCCAATGGAGACTGTGCGGAAGTTCTTTCTTTCACTGGGTCTGAAGGGGGAGTGTGCGGTGGCTCTCTTAGATGATAACCACGTTCTCATCAGACCAACATTAGAGGAGACTCGACTCTTTGTCCGCCGTACGTGGTTCATAAGAAGGTCACCTATGTCGGTATCAAAGTGGTCCTTGGATTGCACAGCCAACAAGGAAATTTCAATTGCACCGGTGTGGGTCGGTTTTCCTGGCTTACCCATACCCTTTTTTGGCCGTCAGGTTCTGAAAAAGTTGTCCTCTGTTTTGGGTCGCCTACTGAAGATTGATGCAGCAACGGGAGATCTGCGGCGGCCATCGGTAGCACGGGTACTGGTGGAGATGGATGTTACGCAAGAGCCTGTGTCACGGATCTGGATCGGGGAGGAAGAGTATGGCTTCTGGCAGAAGGTTGAGTATGAGAATTGGCCTGAGTTTTGTTCTTTCTGTGAAAGATTTGGCCACGAAGAGCAACAGTGTTTTAAGAAGCACCCGACGTTGAAACCTACCAAGATTTCGCAACCACAGCAGACACTTTCTCGGCCAACATGGGTAAGGCGGCAGGGGGATGCTGTGCGGGACATTCGGAAGTCTGGAATGGAGGGAGGAGATGGAGGGGCTGGGGCAGGCATTACGGTTTCTGGGCAGCCTGAGGTGCGGAAGGATGCAGGGACGACTGTGGATGAGGGATGGATGGCAGCGGGGGAGGGCTCCGCACGACGGCAGATAGAGATGGGGGACTTGGATGGGAATGCATTGGCAGTGGTTAACGGTGTGGGGCAGGAGCAGGAGGGGCGCAGCGAGTCGTCGACGGATGATGTAGGAGGGGAGGCAGTGGATTCAGGGGGGCTACTGGCGTTAGGGGTTGCACAGGCAGGAGGTGTGGTGGCTACCCAGGAGACAGAGGTAGCGTCGGATGGTGGATACTCTCCAGCGTCGGATGGTGGATACTCGCCCCAACCCCAGCAGCCTGGGTTGTCTGTCGCTGCGTTAGTAGAGGAGACCATTGTTTCTACCACAGGTGAAATCATTCATCAGTTGGCTGATCAAGTGTTTCAGGAAACTGAAGAGATGTGTTCGGTAAAGCCCCAAGCTACGAACCAACTTGATGAGGGGGAATTCACTGATTCGGAGTCTGAGGATGGCCATTCACCAGCTAATAGAACATTCACAAAGGCTGCATCGAAAGAGAAGGCGATGGATACTAGCGACTCTTCACAGCAACGTAAGCAAATTACGTCTAAAGTGGGAAACGATGCACTTGAGAAGGTAGACAAAAGTCATGATCCGCATAATGTGGTATTAGTTGGAGACACACCCCTTGTGGGTACAAGTACAAGAACAGAAACGGAAAAGTCCCGGTTTGAAGATATGCCACAGTTTAAAGATATGTTCGAAGAGTTTCAATGGGAGAAATTACATGGTAAGATTCCTCTCGTTCATCTAAAACCTTTTCTTCATTCAAGTACAAAATACAATGAGAACAAAAATGAAGAGAGAAAGGATGATTCACAACGTGATAATGACAAATATCACGACCAGAAACTAGTTCTCGATCAATTTACCCAAGTGATATCAAAGAAAACGAGGAAGCAACTCTCAAAAAAAGGTAAAACAATGCAAACACGTCAAGATGTTAAACCAGATTTCCATGCTCGCTCACAATCCCACAAATGTGGGGCACCCTCATGTGGATGATGTGTTTTAGTCATATTGGTTCTTTTATATGTTTGATCCATAACTGTCTTTCTTTTTTACTTCTACAGAGGTCAGGTTTGGTCCCCCTCTAATTCGCTGTATTTCTTTTTTCGATATAAATAAATTAGGGGTTGGCATCCCTTCCCCAATTTGGGGCTTTGCCAAAAAAAAAAAAAAAAAATATTCTTGTATTACGTAATAAACTATTTGCATACTATCCTGTAAGTGTGGAGAAGACCAACACTAGTACCCAATTTATACCATACCCAGTTGATATGATTTGCTAGAGGTTGGATTAAATGAAAAAGATATTGAGATTTGACCGCAGTTCTAGTTTTTTTTTTTATAATGTTATTACTTTAGACCATCCACATTTGAAAATGTAAGATTAATTATGGAAAATAAATAAATACAAGGAAGTGTAGGTAAGATTAAATACGAAAAGTATATAAATGTAAGAGAGGGTAATAATTACTAATATGTGTATATACATGATAGGTTAGATGAATTTTAAAAGCGTTAACCAATTATTAGGTATGTCAAGCAACTGATCTGAACTGATATGAAATTTTTTAAAGTAGATCTGGACCTATGCAGTGAAGTTGCAAACTTAGAATTCTTAATAGATATGATTCGAAAACTCTCGATGTGGAAGTGGGAAATTTGGAAATTCAAATCATTGCAATTTTCAGCAGTCGCACCTTCCTCTTCTTAATGAAACTAAAAACCGCAATCAAAGTGCACGTTAGCATTGCATTCTTATGGATACAAACAATTCAGACCATGGTGCAAAAGGGGAGGGGCAAATGGTATAAAATAGCGATAGTGTCTTTAAAAAGGTCTTAAAATGCCCAAGGCAGAAATGGCAACTATGTCAACAGTCTCTTTTGATCTTTCTAGTAGTGACCTAAGTTCTTCAAGAAAAGATCCAATCATAGGAGACCAGAGTTGCATTAGGGAGAGAGTGATTGGACTTTGCAACACAGCAAGATTAACTGTTGAAATTTTACAAATGAATCATTGGTCAAAAATCAAGAAACCTTGCAGGTCTCAAAAGCAAACAACTAATTAATAAAAAAAAAGTTTCTTTGCCTTTCAACATTTGGCTCACTAGGAGGGACAAGGAACTTAACTTTACAGTTTTAACGATCTGGGCTAAAGGCAAGCAAACAAGTATCTCTAGATGACTGACTATCCAGTGCAGAACTTGAGGAATTAGTCAGCAGAGTTCCGTTATCCTGAGAGCTCAAACTACCCCATTTTGGCTCTGTATCCGATGGCTCGATTACATGAATAGCACCATCACTCATACCAAGAGCAAATTGGCTGGTATACCTGACAATTGGGCGGGTTGGGCGGGTTAATATTGGATTTTTACTTAAATGGGTTATATCCAACCCGTCCAACTTTAGATTGGATTGATTTTGGGTTGGGTCATATTGGGTTAACTCAAATCCATGATCCAAATATGACCCAACATATTAATTAATATATTTTAATACATAAATTTTTTCACATATATTTTAACACATAAAAAAGATTTTTTTCACACATATAAACACATTTTCACATACATAAATGTATTTTCACACACACAAACACACACTCACTTCTTAAGTTCCTTAGAAACACATCATAAATAAAATAATATTTTATATTGCTTGTATTGTGAATTTTAGATAATAAATTATACATTTAAATAGATTAGCTAAAAAAATTGTTTACTTTATACTTTTTAATACTACTAATTGATTGAAACTTATTTTTGTCACAACTTATTAACACTTTTACTATTCATATCTCTTTTATTGTAAATTGTAATATTCTATGTATTTAAATTATTGAATGCTAGATTATATTATACTTGAAAATGTAAGTAAGAGACAAATAATTTGTTGTATAATAATATTGAAATTATAGAAAATAAGTTTGTACTTTAGTCCTTATATTCTCAAAAATTTTATGATTCATGACTATAGAAATTTTGCAAACTGTTGTGAAAGGTCCATGCATCAGAACTACATTTTGGGGATAATATGCAAATTGCATTCTTCCATTAAATGACTGGAGACATTACTGCATTTTGGTTCTTGGACTCGCTAATTAAGAGGAAAAATTAATTGTTTTGCTGATTGTAAGCTTCTCATGAAGTTGAAAATTGGAGGTATTTGCTTCAGAGGAAATGAAATCGTTG